AAAAAAAAAAAAAAAAAAGAAAATAAAATCTCGAACGACCTGTTATTCTTCTCCATTCCTAATGAACACCTCTGTCCACCCCATTTTCACCTTTCAACCAGCTCTCCCCTCTCTTTCCACCTTTCTTTCTTTGTGCTCTATCAGTGTGGTTCGAAGTATCGAGTCGAGCCAACCTTTGTCTTCGATTCTCAAAAGGTGGTTTTTCAAAGAAAAAATATTGCTCTCGAAACGGTTCACTGGTTGAAAACTGAGAAAAATGATAGGAAGGGATGGATAAAAATTGAATCTCAATCTTGCTCGGGTCTTTATCCTCGTCGACCCTTTTTTACGTACGTATTTACGTATATATTCACATTCATATTTCGTATTCATCTTTGAATAGAAGTATATGCAATATAATATATATTTGGTGGATTCGTGTTTATCATTTTTTCCTTTTTCGATTAATGGAATTATTCAAAGAAATTGTTCATATGAATTTTGAAAATTGTTTGAAAATTAAAAGACTAGATGTAATGTATTTTCCAATATTTTAAGAAAAAATATTCACACATTGGATTAAATATTCCATATATGTTATGAAAAATTGTATATCATTAAGAAGATATCTGATATTAATTTTTAATTTATTTATATATCTAGTATTTTATTTTACAACGATGATTATTATCATTTTTCATAGATTATTGATTTTTATAGTTTATAAGTTTAACAAAATGATAAAATAAAAATCTATTAACATCGAAACAAAGAAAATATGACAGAAAGAATAATGGATAATGAATAATAGTACTTTTTAATCTTTCTTGGTTCTTTATCCTCGGACTCTCCTGATTTGCATCATGTGTGGGAGTACTTATATATTCACTTTCATATTTCATAGGCTTGTCTCTGTTTACCCTGTCGCTACAGCTTTCGAAATTCCACTTTGCATTCCACGTTTCCTTCTACTATTTCTCGATGTCCATCTTCATCCTTTTCTCGTTCTTCATTCTGTTTCCCCCCCTCCTAACCAAACATGCAACGGGGGAAATTTCTCTTGGACAGGTTTGAAAAGGTCGTGATTCATTTTTTAATAGACGTAGGAGCGGGATATAAGAATAGCTGATTCTTCTTACCCTCTCTATTGGAGTTGAAGGGTTGTTTTTTGTGAAGATTGACGAGGATGTTGAGATTCGGATATGATTGCATAAATTTTTAAATTTTCGAAGAGGAATCATAAAATTTTCAAATTTTAATTTTTCAAATTTCTTTCTTTTCGCAATTTTTTAACCTTTAAATTTCTTCTAAAACTTTCCAAACTTTCAAATCTTCAAATTTACATACTTCTCTCCATCTTCCAATCTTCCAAAGTCTCAACTTTTCGAGTATATACAAAAAAGAAAAAATCCTTTGATCCTTCGAACTTCAAAATAATTTCAAATTTCTCGATCTTTTTCAATCTTTTCAACACTTCAAAATTTCTCGAACTAGAACATCCTCGTTCCAATTCCACCTTTCGAAACCACACAAATTTCTTTCATTTCCCTCCGCGTTCAACCACCCATTCATCCCATTCGCCTACAAATCTTTCCATTCCCTCGTTCACAAAATCTCTAAATTCGTAGAGCCACGCCCGCCTACCATTCCCAAACTACGTAATATCGCAGTGTACGCGTAACATTGTTTCACCAGGGCGAGGATATTACGTCTACGAATACCTTTGCTCGCTCATCCCCCACGTTCCACGGCCCAATATTTCACAGCCCTGTTCTACATATTGCGCTTGTTAAAGCCTCGTTTCCCTTCGTGCCAGAATTCGTCTTGCTTTTCCTTTGCCACGTGACACTGTCTCAGTCGTTAAAGTCGAGCTCGATTTTATAGGGAGGAGGACACCCCGAGGCCTTGTGCAACTCTACACCTTTCATCGAATTTTCTCCGTTGTTGGTGGTTTGCACTTTCCAAAGTGGGAAGGGAAATCGATTTCATCGAGTTTCGAAGGGCAATTTTTTTTTTTTTTTGAGAGGGAAGTTTTAGATTTTTGGCGCGACTCGAAATTTTAATCAATTTTATTATTCATTTTTTGAGGGATATTTCCTATTCTGGTCAATATCGAGGAAAGAAATTTAGAAGGGTTGATGCTGGGATTGAAAAATAATTTTAATTTTTGAGATTTGACGTGATGTGTTTGATTGTTCGAGTTTTTTGAGGTTTTATGTGTGAAATTGTAATCAGTGAATTGATTCTGTCAGGGATAATGAGAAATTTGGAAGATTTGGAGTTAGAAATATCACAAAACTTATTGATTGGTATAGATCTGCTAATTTATAACACAAAAATTGATTAAATATAATGAATATTAAAATATTTATTCATTATATACTAACATTTACTATTTTTTATAAAAATAATAGCATTTCTTACGAATATAAAATCTACTAAAATACCAAAGATCTATCCTCGTATCGTGAAATTATTTTGATTTCTGGAAAAATTCGACAACAATTGTACAACAATTTTACATTCAACTCCTTCAAAATAATTAAAAATAAACGAAACAAACATTCAAACACATTTCTTCCCCACAAAGAGGAATCCAAATCCTTTATAAACTCAAGTCCAAAGATAACTCTTCGATTCGAGAGTTATCTTTCGAGCTCATTAGTCCCCTAACTATATCCCTTTTCTTTTATTCACCATCGACGCCTCGAAAAACCAGTACTTCCCACGGTCATGGATGGATCATTTCCCGAGGGTGTTCGCGCTAGTTTAATCTCGAGACCGGGAAAACCAACCCGTTTCGAGGGCCGTGTTCATGCTCGAAGGTGCAAGGATCCTCCTCGTTCAACATATTGAAAACGCCCACCTGCCATCCTCCCCACCCGTTAAATTAACGTCAAGCCTCGCCGGTATTTAGGCCAACGGCGAGATCCTCCGTGTCTTGCGCCTTTCGTTTATCAATCTTTGCCGCTCTATTGCAAAAGAGGATCATTCGTGGCCGATACGCCGGGTTTAAGGGATTTTGATGAATAACACGTCGAACGAATTTTTCTGAAACGTGTTTCGAGGAAATTAATCGAGAAAATTTTCGTGGAAAATTTTGTTTTTCTAGAAATATCGAGGGTTTAGTAATTGTTAAAAAAATACAAGTTGGAGTAAGATAAGAAAGTGACGGAAAGGGACTATGGTTAATATAGTGATGCGTTGGATTTAGATTTTAGGTAGAAATTTTTAGAGCAGAATATAACAAACTTTGGCTGAATTTCTGAAGCACTTTGTGTAATTCGTTCAGTAAGTTTTTTTATATAGTCTGATAGATTTTATAATTTTAAAATATATCCATATTCACGTGAGTAATTATAATATAGGCTAATTTTTAGTTACACACACGAGATGAAGATTTTTCTCTTAATTCAACAGCAATCTCCTCATTCCTCCCGTTCACAATTCTCAAAGAGAATGAATCACAATTTGCTGAACCACTGAAGCGACAACGAGAAAGCTATTTCACGTTTCCCTCGTTTCATTTCTCACGATTATTAAATGTTTGAATGACACGATTCGCTGGAAAAATCTCTCTCTCTCTCTCTCTCTCTCTCTTTCTCTTGACTCTTGAGAAAAGAAAGAAAAAAGAAAAGAAGAAATTGAATAAAAATTCGTCGAGGTTTATTTTCGAGACAAACAATTTTTAAGATATTTCTTTTTTTATCTTTTCTTTTTTCATTGGCGTAGAGAATAATGCAATTTGGCCCACTTTGTAGATTCTTTGCTAGGATCGTTGCTCGATCATTTGCCGGCGTTTCAGCGAATTTAACTTCCAAGGTTAATAAAGCTCCTTGATTACCGCTCTTAATTAAGCTTTTCTCTTTGAATACGAGTTATTCGACTGTCTTCGTGATTCTCTTATAAAATCTTGGTGGATAAGAGATTTATCCACTGCTTCTTGAATTATATCGTTTTATAGAATACGAATTGTGATTAAGAATGTTCATAGGTGGACAGATATAAATTTTCGTGATCTATTAAAAAATTATTTCGATCGATTGTTTAAATATAGATTCTCTTAATTTATAATTTTTAAGGAATACAAATATTTGGATTTTGGTGTGTTCTGGTAAGATATGTAAATTGCTTCGAAGAAAATCGTGTTTCTTGTGAACACAATACGTAGAATACTAATGAAGGGAATAGGGCCAGTTTGAAATCAAAATTTGGTTCTCGTATATCTTTCTCTCTGGAGATTCTCCTTTCGAAAATGTTTCACATATGTGGTGGAATAATTTATGAAAAAAATACGAATAAAAGGTAAGATTTAATGGAATTGATAAAACACGTTTAAATTTCCAATTCTTCTCGAAACATTTTTACATCGCATCGGGAAATATCGATTAAACGGAAAGAAACCCGTGATTTCTTTTTAATAAATTCTCGAACCTGTTCCCGCAGATATTGCGTAAATTATCCCCGGCCATCTCATTTTGTTAATCGAAAATAAGGCGTGGGCGTGGTTTTCGTGGGAGTTGTTCGATTTCTATTTCAAATAACATGGAAACAAAAAAATACTATAGATATGCATAAGTAAAATTAATAAAACTATTTCTCAATAATAATTTCCATGATTCGAAAATCGTGTGAAAATAATCAACATTATTATTTTATTTTTATAGATCCTAATTCGAAAACGAATATACAACATTATACTGATCGTTATTATTGTATTTAAATAACATAAAATTACAATATGATTGAAAAAAAATTTACCAATTCAACACGTGAAATTCTGTAATAAAATTAATTATATTAGTAGAATTTCAAATAGCTGATTCACTTTCATAAAGAATTTCACTTTCAAGAAAGAAAAGAGAAAGAGAGAAAAAAAAAGAAAAGAAAAGAGAGAATTTTAGTATCGATTAATTAATAAGATGAAGAAATAAAAGAAAGAAAGAGGAAAAAACGGGATCATAATGAGATGGACAACGAACCATGACGGAGCGACGACGAATGGCTCGCAGCCAGAGAATGCAAAACAGCTGTTTCGTATACAGGGAGGCGAGATTAATTAACTGGCCGTGTTAATTCGTTGAAACGGCGACAGGATGGTCATCGAATGAGGATTAATCGCTCGTCGTTTTGAGATTCAATCTCGGTATGAATTTCGAGCTTATAGGGGACCAGGATTGAATCACGATTGAAATTTCTCGTTTCTGAAATTGGAACGCTCCTCTGCTTTCCATTGTCTTACGATTATTGGATTTCTTTCTCTCCTCCTCTTCTTCTTTTTTTTCTCTTCTTTCTTTCTTTTTCTTTTTCTTTTTTTTTTCATTCTGCGAGGAGAAAGTGCAAGTGTATCGTTACAGAGTTACTTTTTCAATTGGTTCTCGAGTAGTGGAAAATACGTAGATGTTGAAATTGAATGGATTTAAGTAGCGTTTTTTTTTATTTTCTTCTGTTTCATTTGACACTTGAATAAGAATCTTTTTTACCGTAATGATTTTTATTCGGCATATAAATGTGTAATTTTGTTAGGATAATTTAATATTTTGAGAATGTAGGATAATAAATATTTGATTAGTTTAAATAGTATTTATTAGTGATTTTAAAAACGAAAAATTTTCATTATCTTGTAATTTATGATATATTGGATTCAGAGAAATATTCAATATTTCTTTGTGCTATAAAGTTACATTTAACTCGAAATGAATTGGGTCACAAAACCGATAAAGGGCTCACAAATCTAATAATATTTCGCTCAAATGGCTATTTCTCTATCAATTTCAAAATGCTTAAAACAATCGTTTCATTAAACTCTGTGTTAACTTCTGTGTTAACAAGTCGATTAAACTTTGAATATAAATTGATATAAAATAACCGTAATTAATTCCTTTATTTAATAAATTTTTACATATTTACATCGAAAATATTCAAGTGCACCATTAATACTTATTTTCAAAATTTTCTTTCTTTTTTTTTTTTTTTTAAATAATTGGCAAAGCTTCCTCCAAAAGTGCTGCCACTTATAGAGACTATTACTATTAATTAATTAATATTGGATGAAACTTTAGATATTGCGAGGCATTCGTGAAGCACTTTTTTGCACGATAACATCTCGTTCGTCAGCGAATATATTTTTTAACGTGCATTGACAAACAGAGATTTTATCGGAAGCGAGGAGCCACTAGACGCTGGCGATGATGATGGCAAGAGGGGAAGATCATCTTTAATTATTGCTCGAATATCGTCGACACGAGCGGGAAGTAGTTGAATTGCGATTCTCCGCTCCACGGGAGAGGATAAACGAATTTTCCTAGACAACTCGA